AAATAAAGTCAAGACCCTCATCACAGTTTATAGGTTTGGTATGAATATGAGTTATGAGCAGTCCAGCTATATATTGTTTTGTCCTTCTAGTCTGATTGTTTTGTTTAAAGCAATATTTCAACATTTTGGGGAAGATGCTGATTCATTTTCTTGCTTCAGATGAGAAGATAGACAGACACCACGATCATATTTGTCAGGAAAATATAAGGTTACAGGCAGCAGCTGGCTGGCTGAGCTTTGGTGCCATTACTGCTCCCAGCTGAGAAATAGTCCGTCGTAAACCACATCGGTTTCTGTATAGGGTCAAACAAATGAGATCAAATATTTAAATTATTCAGCTACAGAGGCACTGCGAGTTGGATTACTGTTACCTTTAGAGCCAGAGGAGTTGTTTCCAGTTTTAATGCTTAGCTAAGCAATTAAGTAAGTTTCCCAAAATTAGATTCCTAACAGATTTTTAGCAACACAAAAGAAATAAATCCAATCTTAAAGTAAAAATTGAATCCATTTAACCTATAAATCCACAGGTTCAAAATCAATAAGTTAAAGTAATGATCAAACCATAAAAGAAATGATTAACAGATTACTCATCAATGGAATTAATCACTTTCTGCAGGCTTGATGTATATTAATCGGCCATATATTTTTTAAGTAAACGTTTAATGGCTTTTGAATATATTTTAAATGGGGTCATTAGTAGCAAATTAGTTGTACAGTGTGTTTAGGTTGTCAGATGTGTTGCAGACCTCATTCCCTCATCAGTCTCAAACGTTTTAGAAGAAAATGACAGTAAGTAGTCGTCTCTCCCTTTCCTTAAATGCACATCAGCTTTACCTGCCTTAAGTCCAAAGAGGCAAATCAAATGAAACCTGGATAAAGAAGGACCTACCAGCTTCACCTCACCCTGCTTCAGTAATCCTCGTTAACATCTAGGTTATTTCTTTATCAGCCTCTTTCTGCCACTTTTTACTAGAGTGTCACAGACACCTGCAGGAGGGTGAGAGAATTACCCAGCCTCCCTCACTGTCACGAGGCATCCATCCAACACTGTGTAGGGTCTGGTTTCATTTTCCACAGAGTCATGTTTTCGCAGCTTTTGCACACTTGTCATTGTGAGTGAATCTATGCTGGCTTGTTTTGAGCAGATTGATGAGATTGTAGCTTGTCTGCTGTAATTATATTGAGGAGCTGTTGGCTGCCGCAGCCTGTCTTTGTTTTCCATTTCATCTGCTCGGAAAGCCGGGCCTATCAGCAGTATGTAGGCATACATGTGTGCGAGTGTGCAGATGTTGTGCTTGCTGTGGTGGCTGTGGCTTGTGTGTTTTTGCAATGACACAGCAGTGTGAACCGCTGTCATGTCTTGTTCTGCCTTAAATCCTTTAAAAGTTTCCCTCTATAAATACTATGGAGATGCTGTGTCAGGGTTGGCCAGACGGTCCCTGGGCACCGGACCGCACAGGCCATTTAGATTTGGCACTATGCACTCTGATGCTGCAAAGTCACCAAAAAAAAGAAAAAATGATTCCATGATCAAAAAACCTTTCATCACTTGGAGCACTTGTCCCTTAAGGATTTTTTTTTCGTGAAGCCTTTAGTTTTCTTGCCATGGGGAGTTGAAGGAGGGAAGCAAAGGCCACAGTAAGGATTCCCCTCTATGCTGAAGATAAGAGCCATTTAATATCACTCTGCAGCTCAAAGTGAAATATCAGACAGACAAGTGCAACTATGTTAAAAGTGTTTGTTTTTCATGGATATGAAAGACTCCTTTTTTTTTTTTTCATCCACAGCTGACAGCCATGATGGCTCTGGTCCTCAGCGAGAGTGGAATATAATGAGCACAATGAAATCGCCCTCCAATCTGAGAAAGAAGTTGCTTTTCTTAATGTGCCCATTATCCATTTTGCACTTTTTAAAAACTCCCTGACATCCATCAGGAGAGGTGTGGGGAGGGAGAGGTAAATGCAGACGTTCTCTAAGTGTTGCTGTGAGCGATTCTCCTCTGGAGGACCATTGTGATTAGAGGGTGACAGCAGGACTAAGTGATTGTTTTCAGTCGCCCCTCACATAGAGATATATCTCAAGCTCTGTTTGTGGTGTTCTTTTCTATCCAATCATTAGTGTCTTTCTCCTTGTAATGCATTTCACACACGTTGCATCAGGAGATCAAGATTTTCTGCAAGTGCAAATGGCAAGTTTACGATCATGGGCACAGGCCCACCGAAACGTTCCAGCTTCTGCAATAAGAGAGAGAGAGAGAGAGAGAGAGAGAGAGGGAGAGAGCGAGTAAAACTAGATTCAGCATGAAACGGTGTATAAATGACCTCTCATTCAGCCACCTACATCCTCCTGATATCTTAGGATTGATGTATAACACACACACACCCGCTCCTCTTTTTTCTCCTCTCTATCTCTGTGCCTTTGCTCTCCCTCTCCCCATGTGTCTGCTCCTTGGGAAGCGTCCTGCTGACACTCTCTCTAAGGAGTCTTATTGATATTCTTGGAGAGGCATTGCAGTGAGAGAGCGAGGGGGAGAGGGGAATGAAAGTCACAGACGTATGCTGCCTTCTAGTACCAACAACTGTAAAAATCACAAGTCACCCAGCAGGGATGTGTCACCACTCATTTTGTCTGCCTCACTAATAGCATTTCTTGCCTGCTTTAGATTTTTTTTTTTTTTTTATTGTACTCCAGCCCGTGGATAGGCAATTTGACAATCACACAGATTCTCAGTTAAGCTTCAGGGTGGCTTCCATGTGGATTAAGATTAATTCCCTATTGTGATATAAATGGAACAATTTGCTTGAATATAATTATATTGTTTTCACTCTGGCAGCCACCCATTAGGGTTGCATTTAGTGTTATAGTGAGAGTGAGGAAATAAGGTCGGACCGCTGATTCTGTTTTTTGGTTTATTTCCTGGGTGAAGAAGTGATTCTACACGTTTGCTCATGCATTTCCTTGATGACTTGCAATCATCACAGTAAGGCTAGGTTATCATTTTTCACATTGGTCCGTATGGATTTAGATAACGGACAAACAAAAGACTAGGTTTCCATAATCAAAACCTCACTTTGAGAAAACAAATGTGTTTTTAAGCCCCTTTTTCAGATAACAAATGAATTCTCAAATATTAAATCTTCTCTTAAAAACAAGCAGTTATACAGAAACTTTCGCTAAAATGGGAAAATTATTATTTAAAATAGACATTGGCAAGAAGATTAAAGGAAAAAAGCGAGATTGACACATTTTGTCTATGTGGAAAATACTTTTTTTGAGAGTGAACATCCGATAAATCATGACACATTCTCTATTTATTTGTGTGTTAAGTTCCTCTTCGAACTCTGACTTGGACTCTGTCCTGCTTCTGATTTATTGGTTTACTGATATGCACCAACATGAGAACATTGACAATGCTAATAACCGCAGGAATAGTAGCTAATGTTCATTGTGTTAGTTTTGCATTCAAACACTTAAATTAGCACTAAACACAAATAACAGTTCCGCAGGAATTAATCCATGCTGCAAAGTATTGGACAAATTAGTTTTAGAATAAAAACGTTCATCCCCTGGGGATCATACAAATTCTACAGCATTTCAACCTCGTGGGGGCGCTAGAGGAAATGTAAGGGGATCACTATAGACATAGTATGAGCACGATGAATATCCGTACCAACTTTTTTGCTTGTCCAACAAGTAAAAATTGAGATATATGACCCCGGTGAAAACTTTGATGTGATAGTGGAACTTGAACAATAGTCAGAGGATCACAACAGTCATTATTATTCATCCTGTCGAGACCTTGAATATCTTCCGACAATATCATCGTTTTCTGTTGCCCGCCGACTCTCCTCTACTCCTGGAAAAATCTGCGGAGATATGTGAAGGTGAAAGAGGGAGCGCAGGGGAAAGTAGATTTGTTTTATTTTTCAAAAACACAGTACAAACCTGTAGAAGTGACCTGCAGAGTGCATTGAGATGCAGCTGATGAAATGATGTGGTGTGCTGCAGACCTACCCCCCCTCACCACCACACTATTTATAAGCCTCCATCATGGGCGCAGCTTTTCAGTGAGTCATGCCGCTTTGTCACACAAACATCAACACGCAGTTGAAAGCGGCATCATACATAAATCAAGCGACCGCCACGCCATGAATGAGTTGACACTGTCGGTCTGCTGCTGACACACACACACACACACNACACACACACACACACACACACACACACACACACACACACAACTTGCTCACTGAATGTATCCAGATTATTGGAGTCCAGACTCCAGACATTTTCTGCTTTGTGTGTGTGTGTAACTTGACTTCACTCCTACACACATTATGGCGTGTTCTTCACCAACTACCTCATATACGCTCCAAGCCAGAGGGTTGCTGGGACTAATTTGACAGCTGCCACTGCTTATTATCTGATAAAGGGGACAGCTCTTGGCCCTGCAGTTTAAACAGTATTAGTGTAGATGCTATTTGCAATAACCTTACACATTGCCGGCTGTCAGGGTAATAAGTTTGGCGATGCTTTCACGATGAGAAGGTTTAAGCAGACTTTAAAGGGAGCCTACCTTCCTTTCATTTCTAGTTTTATGTCAAATATAGGACACTGGTGAACAAACACGTTTTAATACATCATTTCACAAGGTTTCTGCAGAAAAAAACTAGAATGGCAGTCTACCATGGCCCAACAGTCCCCTTATATTCAATCACCTGCAACAAATTGCATACACTCAAAGATATCAGTCCACTCAAAGATTTCTTTCATCCAAGATCTTTGCTTTATTCCCTGGAAATGAAAATGTAAAATAACGCAGTCTGGATTCATGCCAAAATGTTTGTGTTCTCTCTTTGCATATGTTTCATACAATCATTTGTATAGTTTTTGTATAAACCTGCAGACAACAGGCAGAGGTAAAGCTGTCTTTTGTCCCGTATAATCATGGACCGTTTTCCCCTTTTTTTCCTCCCTGTCTCTGTCTCATCTTGACCCAGACCTGACGATGGACTCCTTCAGCACCAAGAGCTTGGCTCTGCAGGCGCAGAAGAAGCTGATGAGCAAGATGGCCACCAAGAGCATGGCCAACCTCTTCATTGACGACACCAGCAGCGAAGTGCTGGACGAGCTGTACCGCGTCACCAAGGAGTACACCCGAAACCGCAAAGAGTCCCAGAAGATCATTAAGAACCTGATCAAGATGGTGGTGAAGCTGGGGGTTCTCTATAGAAACAATCAATTCAACAGCGAGGAGCTGATCCTAGTGGACAACTTCAGGTAGGCTGGATTCTGAAATAACAACAACAACAACCTTTACATTAAAACAATTTGAGGGCATAAAGCTGGCTTGTATTGTGAAATCATGTATTTACCCTGGAAACTGTCAGTCTTTACCCTTGGCATGCAGTGATGCTGGCTCTTACTCATGGAAATCCCCCTCTTTAAACATCTCTCTCACTCACTGAGCCGGCTGGCAGCTCAGCAGGCACGTCAGAGTGTGTGTCTGAATCTTTTGAGTTGTTGTCACTGTTGTTTTCATATAAATAACTGCTGTACTCTGCTTCACTGTTGTTTCCCTTGCTCAGGTCATAAGCTTTTCTATGATCTGTGACTTTTTTCCGTGGGCTGAGATTACTGAAAAAATGAAGAAAATGCATTTCCCATAATGCATTTTAAGCGACATGATTTCCATCAGTCATTTGACTTAAAAATGTATGATATAAATAATATCATATATAAAACTCGTACGTACGTTTCATCTGGTCAAAAGTTCCAAACTCAAGCTACCAACACCTGTAAAGCTGAGTTACATGACAATAAGACTTAAGGAAGTCTCAGCGCCCAGCTGTTGTTTGTCAGGAAATGGTTAAAGTACATAACTTCCTTTTAAAACAATTGGTTTTTATCAACATCAATAGCAGAACTGGTATTGTTTTCACCATCTGTGCTCGTATATGTCATCATTGCAAAGGGACCCTTGCCCCCCACTCACTCTACGCCACTGGCCCACATTGGTTTAAGTCATGGGATCAATGTATCTCAGTTTGGATCATCCATTTATGCACTATTCTGGTTTTCACTACTCTCATCCCGTCTAATCCTATGAAAGCTAACAATTCCATTTCTCTGGCTTTGTTTTGTGTTTCCTGTGCGAATATGTTGAAATAAGATGTTGAACATACACCCCCTACTAAATATTAGCATGTTGCTGTGTCTGTAAGAATGCTGGCATTAACACGAGCCTCTAACCTTAAGAGCAAACTAAAGAGACCTTATGTGCTTTTGAGGAGTTTGTAGAATAGATATGTTCCCTTGATTTCGGTCATGAGGCATCTTTGAATCAATTTTAACACATTTCTTTAATCAAATGTTAACTTTAAAGTGGCTTCAATGAAGAGCTCCTGCAAGATGATTAAAAGTTAAATTATGTGTCAGGAGGTTGCGATCATTGTTGTCTGCTGATGGAAGCAAATTAAGTTAATTGACTTTTACATCATTTTACATCCACTAAAACAGTAACACTCAGCTTAGTGATTGTATTAGCATGGAGATGTATGGCTGTGAAGGACAATACTATAAGTGATATATGGGGGTAGTAAAATTTTTCCAAAGAAAATTCACAAGACAGCACTTTCTATTTTTACTTGCGTCTGCTGCTCCAGTCAGAATTAGAAACTGACAGCTTCTCCTCTCTCTCTTTTGTCTCACAGGAAGAAAGTCCACACTCTGGCCATGACGGCGGTCAGCTTCCACCAGATAGAGTTCACCTTTGACCGCCGCGTCATGAGCGCCATTTTGAATGAGTGTCGGGAACTGCTGCACCAGGCCATCAAACGCCACCTGACAGCCAAGAGCCACTCGAGAGTCAACCACGTCTTCAATCACTTTGCCGACTGTGACTTCCTGGCCACTCTGTACGGGCCCTCGGAGGTTTATCGCGCCCACCTGCAGAGGATCTGCAACGGCGTCAACAAGATGCTCGACGACGGGAACCTCTGACCCCCCGTTTGCCTCGTCTTCAGGCACCTTTACCTCTAGTCGCCCTTCATGTATCATCTTGTAGGATTTATTTTCTAAGGTGACAATCGTGAACTTTTTTATTCTTCCATTTGTTGAGTTTGTTTTTGCGTCTTTCGCATATTATTGTAACACTGAAATTTTCTGTGCTAGTTACTCCAAAGTCTGTTTTTTTTTTGTTTTTTTATCTCGTCTGACTTTCTGTTATTTTACAGTAAACAAAACCCAGCATTTTTCTCTTTGTTTTAAATGAATGTAAAACTTCATGCTCTTCAGTATATTCAGGGGTAGGAGCCTTGACAACTGTGCCTTGAACATTTTTTCCTTTATTCCAAGGGCACTGCATCGGTGCTCTGACATAATCAAAACGATATGAATTCAGGCACAGGCCTCCAGTTATATCTCTGTTTGGTGCCTTTTTAATGGACGACAATGTTTCCAGGTGCACCAGAGGAGGAAGGAAAGTGAATTTCCATCTTTTCTAAATAGTCTGTTTTTGTTTTGTGTTTTCCTAAAAGTAGTATTGCACTCAATCCTGAACAAGCGCTGTACTGTACTTGTCCTGCAACAGGGAGACCATGTGAAGCATGGCGGTCGAGTAATCCTGCTTAGGCTGCATTTTGAAGCTCTCACCATCATGCACTGAACTCCACTTTGTAAGAGAGGCTCGGCTTGTGTTTAGAAGGCACCTATAAACCCGGTTTTCCCTTTAACGCTCTGGTTTATAGCCGCCACAACCAAGATGAAGTATTTGGGTCATAAGGGGACCCTAAACGTGAAGGAATTTGATTGTGTTGTGTATTGCTAATTGTCCCAGCGCTGACTCGAGCGCCTCATTGACTGTGCGCTCATCATCGCAGCAAAGGAGCGGCACACCGTTGCGCCAGGTGCAAAGATTTCTCTGGTATTGTTTTTTATCAGATGAGGAAAAAATCTGTAAAATAATAACTGTCGTTGCCCTGGGGTCAGCTGCGTTGTGTTTATCCTAAAAACTCTGGTTTGAAATACGATGGATATGAACTAGAAAGACTCCCCATGCAGCTCGGTGTCTGTGGACCGAGCCGGGTCTAGTTATTAGAGCAGAGACAAACACAGAACATGATTGTACTCTCCCTCTGCAATTATAGCTCCCAGCTCTGGGGTGGTATAATGGCCTGCAGCCTGCCTACGTCGACTAGTCCCTCCATTTCATCACATGGCAGCGTTCATGTTTTGTGATGGACGTAACCATCTCTGTTTGCACAATGCAAATCCTTTTTATGGCCTGAAAGCTGTTGTGTTTCTTCCTTGTGAAGGAACATTTCACAAAACCTCACATAATAGCCATCTTTCCTTGTTTTTTTTTTTTGTGTTTGTATCACTGAGCCTGTCTGGGAGACTGTTTTGTGCTGCGGCCTCATTTTGTATTCTGTGTGTGTGTGTGTGTGTTTGTGTGCATACCTGTGAGAGAATTGGAAATTGAGCTGTGTAATAAGCGCTGTGCTTCTCCAGATAGGTTTGCTGAAACTTCTATTTCATCCACAGCAGCTCTGCCAAAGATAAGGTGACTGATGCTACTCAATATGCTCTTTATTTTTTTCCCCCCTGAGAGGAACACTTCAGAAAACAGTATGCACTTGATACTTAAAACCCTGGTAATGGTGATTAATGAAGACAAAGGTGATTTCAGTCCCTTTTTTTTTTTTTTTTTTAGCTCTTACACGACTTCCCTGAGTTTGCTCTTGTTTGTTTAAATCTGACTGAGGCTTTGACAGAAATCCTTTTCTCTAAGTCCCTGAGAACCGTTGACTTTAATTGTCTTTTGGATGCCATTTTCTCCAATCCCCCCACATCTCAGGGTTAAGTTTTAATCTCCCTAGTTTCAAAATCCACCACGATTGAAAGATTAGGAACCTCTGCCGAAGCCTCAACTTATTTTAACTAAAGCCCTCAAATGAAGCATATGTTTCATGTTGCGTTTTTACTATCGAGAATTGTGAAATGTTTGTATTTTCGCTCATGTACATATCATTGTTTTTGTTTCTCTGTATTGTATCCAGACACGACAAATATAATACAATCTACTTTTTTAAAACAATACATTTCTTGTCTTCTTTTTTCCATTGAGGGTCTTCCCATTTGCACGTTGGATGTTGGGTATTTTCCAGTTGATCAGAAGGGTAATCTGACTAAAGTCTGACCTGGATTTACTCGGCCAAATCCCTTCCTCCCTCTCCCAGCATTGTTAGGAAGTCATGAAAGCAAACACACAAAAACCCCATCGGACGGACAAACAATTCAAAGTTTAGGTCATTTTTTTCCGCCGGCCCACACAGCAGTCAGAGTTAAAACAGGAAGCAGGGGAGCCAGAAATACTTCTTGTGTCTGTTTTTGTAAACTTGAACATTCAGCTCGGCCTGCAGCTCAAGCGTTGCATGAGTAATACTCGTGAATTCAGTTTGAGTTTAATCTTTGACTCTGGAATGATAATTTGGCCTGTAGCTCATCTGCAGCGCCTCCCTGCAGCAAACTTGAAAGGCTACTGCAGCAGCAAGTGCCCAGTTATCCTCCAATGGTCATTACAACATGTTACAACCGGAAATGCACTGGTGAGTTAAGAGAGTTGTGACCAAAGAGATAGAGCTCAGATGTGACTCACATGTGGTTTTCTCTGAGCACTTCCGCCTCTTCTCATGTCAATTAAAGTAAAAACATCCTGACATCCACTTTACTGCTCACAGTGTCTCTATTGTAGTTGTGTAAGTGCTGAAAGTGCTTGATTTGTGCAGCTAAAGTTGAATTTTATTAGTTTTGATTACTTTCCTCTCCGTCTGCGCGTCTCAAACACTTTCGGAAAATTAAAATTTCAAAATGACTGTCACGACTTGATTATCAGTGGATGTGACTGAGGGCTCGAATACATTTTGGTGAAGCTAGCTTTCACTGGGGCATAATTATCATTTCTACATAATGAAGTGACTACAGAGGAGCTGTCCTGCATCCTAAGGAGGAGGGCGCCGAAAATATGGAAGCGTGCGGAGGAGCCATTACTCTTTCCACTCATGTTCCGAGCGCAGATCATTGAGTTATTTGTGCTGCAGACTTCAAACCTGAAGCAAACAAAAGTTGAGCAGAGCTGCTGCAGCGTACACCTCTGTAGGATCAAATATGACAAAGGGATGATTCTCTTGCTCGGCTGTGTACACGTACAACCCCGCAACAAAAGGACACACCGAGCCTGGGTTTTTCACGCTCTGTCACCGCGAGGGTACAGACAGTTAGTTTTGGCATAATGCTGCTAAGTCTGGCCGCCTGTCAATGTGGGCTCAAACACCCTAATGTTTGATTTCTGGGTGCTGCAACAAAACAAATCACACAGCATTGTGTTCAAACAGCAGGCAATATATTCTGCTTTCAAACAACATCACACTGTCACATTTGTAGATTTTCTTCATCAGACGCCGGTGAAAAGACCTTTTAGGCCTCACAGAGGTTTTTGTTACAATGTCACCGACCTCCAAGGTGAAGAGAAGAAATCTGAAGAGGTCAAAGCACCGGACACATGTCGACTGAACTTGGACTGGTCGTTGGGGGCACACAACCCCAGGGCCATTAGTGTAGTTTATATACGACCTATTTAAATGATCCTTGTACAAAGGTTTATGATGACTCTGATGAAGGCCACGAGGGAAACACGTCCGTGTTGGTGGAGTTTTGACCTTTGAAAGCTGAATGAGTGAAACAGGACAGGGACTGTGTCAAAAGACGAGTGGCACGAAATCACAAAGTGCAAAATGATGCAGCTATTTCTATTTATTGTACTTTTAAATCAAAAATTGTATGAGAGGTGGGTTTATATGTTCAGCGGCAGATACCTGCATCAGTGTGAATTATTGTGTGAGGTTACATACAGTATGTAAAGCATTTTGTCACATTTAGATTTTGTCACTTCTTCGCCTGTTGTTTTTGTTGTTAACTCATTTCTATGCAAATCCCTGTGTTGCTGACGTCCTGATCCAACAGTGACGTCCATCCTTCCAAAATGTGATTACAATGTGCTCCGACTGTTGAAGCAGATCAGCTTTAACACCAGGTTGTCGCTGACCTTTTGAGGACTTCCCACCTTTTCTCACCACCAGTCTCATGAAGGTTAGCCGGCAGAGCACTGCTTATGTATTACTTTGCTTTTGTAGTCCTTCCACATCATCACTCATCCAGTATTCTTAAAGGTGCTCTCCCCTCTGGCAAGCACGGCTATGATGTCAGCTTTCGAAGTTAGAAGTCTTTCAGAACTCTTTTTTTCCCCCTCCTCTCCTGTCTTCCTCCCCTTTTTCTCTGACTCTCTTCGACTCTTTTTCAATGTCCCCACGTCACTCTCTTCTTCCTCCTCTCTCCAGTCCTCAGAGAGCACCTGACTGATGTGTTGTTCAAGGATGAAAAGCACAGCGGAGCGGAATCGAAAAGCAAACAACACAAAAATATACATGAGAGGACGGCACTGTACACACTCACAACAGAACTCAACTGCCGGAGCCCTGAGGATTAACAACAGCGTGACACTGGACACTTCAGGGAAGGAAGCATCTGCTCACTTCCATATTTAATACTGAAAAAAAAAAAAAAAAGAACATTGTGTTCTCAAGAACCTTCTCATTTCACTTTATGTAAATACAGTGGTGTGAACGCATCCTTCCAAATGGCACATTTATGCTGCTCAGGCGGCTGCAGAAAGTTCTCAGAGCGCCCCGAGGCCTTCACTCTGTGAAATTTTGCACAGGAAATTTTTGAATGACACAAGGCCTTTTGGCTTTCAAAGTGTCGCTTTTACATCTCTCTCTTCCACCAAGTTACGTAAGGTGTTCAGTGATGTGCTCTCTTTCCCTCTTTCTCTCTTTTCTGTCTCCTCAAAGAAATTCAACCAGGAAACTGTATCTGCAGTGGCAGTGAAGTTCAGCAAACACACACACACACACACAAACTCACACACATGCAGCTGAAGTGTCGTGGCACGCACGCTCTGCTGCTTCCCAGCGGGCAGGCGGCCTGTTACACGACTCAAAACAAAGCGATGGCAGCGCTGCAGGGGGCGGCAGACAAGGTTACGAGGTCTCTCTTCACCCTGCACCCGACTGTTCCACCTATTCTGAAAACTACATGCAGACAGAAAGGGTTTGAAAAGCTGAGTTTCTTTTTAAGCAAACACTTTAAGATATATTCTTTTGTTCTTTGGTCATTCACACATGTTTTTTTTGGCACATTAACATAATGGATGGAGAAAAGGCAACCAGACTCAAGAGGCTGCTCCAGTGGGCCCTGAATGGACAGCAACTGTGAACTATTATTCCACAATGACTTTAAAATGAGCAATGATTGCATGGTTCCCTGCCATGTTATTTATGGACCTCACAAAGTGGGTGGCTGATTGGAGGAAAAGTTAGACTTTTAAGAGATGTGAATTCAAGGTCTGTGAAGCACACACAAATTCATTCAGGCAAATGTTGTCAATCTTACAAAAAATGTCCAATTTACTTTATTATTTGGATTTTTTTTCAGGTACTCTTCACTTTTACTCCACCACAGCAAACATCTGTACTTTCTACTCCACTACATTCTTACAAAGCGTTGCAATACCATCTGCATAGAAATAAACAACAACATTATCACCATTAACAACATTGTCTTTCCTGGATACTGTACTTCGCAAATACATATAATTATATATAAATATGTACCTTTGCATTCCCTTTATAAGAGAAAAGTTAACAAGTATAATTTCATCATTGTCCTGTGAAAACCACGGATCTCTAAATAGGTTCACTGGGTTTATTTAGCTTTAAGAAACAGACTCTTAATCCTCCAGTTTATCAAACAAGACAAGGTCAAAACCTGGCATATGGTTGAACCGCGTAGCTGTGGTCAGTATGCAAATCTGAGGATGCTGTTGAAAACTCTTACTTTCAGTGCAAAGAAGCTAAATCCTGCTTGAAAATGTCGTAAAATGTCACTAGATGTTATAATACCATAACTATGACGCCACCGGGTTGTATTAGCATTCTGCCAAGTGTCAGCAAGTTTTTATTTTATTTGCTTCTCTTCTGCTCTCCATGCTCGCATATACAGAAGTTTAATACAAGTTCTCGATAAAGCTGATCTCATGGGTTTCTGTTTTTGTTGTCAGACGACAGAACACGTACAAAACAGTAACGGAAACATGGCCCATTAAGACTTCATGTTACCCAGCAGTCACTTTCAAACAATTTCCAAGCTGCTGCTCTGCTAAAACTCTGATTTTATAACCGCTGTGTTGTTTGACAAAATCTCATACACTGAGATATGCTGTGATTTCATATTTACTTGTAAAATCATCCCTCTGAGAGAAAGATAGATCGTCAGTTACGTCTGTGTCAGCTGCTGTGTGGACATGGAGACGCAGAGGGACTGTGTGCCTGCAAGTTTATGCCAACTACACTCTATGAAGGTAAAACATACCGTGTATATATCTAGATGCATGTGATCAATGTCCTCTCTCAGAGACAGTATTTTTTATTGCTTCGTATTAAGCCCCAAACTTGCATCTTTCTAGTCTCAAATCTTTAATAACAGCTCAGAAATATTAACACTCCACCAGAGCCAGAGCCTTTATTAATCATACTTGGAGTCTCTCGAGTATTAAGTAGACTCATCACAGCCCAACAACAATTACTCTCTTGCTGCCTCATCCCAGCAAAATATAAAAAAAACTATTACTTGACTCCAAAATGTGGCCACATGATCAAACCAATACATTACATTAGGGAGGGATAAGATATATCTTAAAGGACAGACTCCCACACTATAATGTGATTTGGAAACCCCTCATATCACATCTGGCACACAGAGGTTCCTGCTCTGTGCGTTTTATCTAATAAGTTAATGAGTGGGGGGTAAGGGGCCAGGGGAACGGGAGAGGTTTAGGAAGATAAAAGGGAAGATAAAGGTTTGAACTTAATGGTGCTTTACTTCTTTATCTGAGTTATGTTCACATTTTACCATTTATATTTATTTTCCACCCATCCTTCCATTGTCTCTGCCGCTTATATTGCAGAAAGACTGGAG